CAGTACTCATTTTGCCCAACTTCCCACCTTTTAAACGTTCGCTTAATTTCCGACGGCACTGTATTTTCCGACGGGAAAACGATCGCATTTTTACTGGTTTTTTTTCTCTCGCTCGCTTATTGAAAACACCGACCGCTCACCCAAACACTGGTCACCGGCACAGGAGTGGTCAATACAGTGCAGTCGGGAAATTAAGCGATAAGCGGTCGATTAAAAGTGGGAAGTTGGGCAAAATGAGAACTGTAGTTCAAGTGATATTAGCGTATTTCTAATTTAGTTTTTAACTCGTACAGTATATATTTACTCACTGTTTACTATAGCTAGAGCGCTGTACGTGTCTTCATTTTCAGGTTAGTTCTTCTGCCGATTTCTCGCAACCAACATTTTATTTGGGATTTCGAGAAACTTAACATGAATCATTATGGCATTCATACGCACAACACCTCGCCATGTTTCAAGTTTTTTAAGTAGTCAGTTAACAAGGTCTTTCATAGAACATTTCTACGAGATTGACGTACTAGCATGAATGGGTTCAATTATCAGTGTTCACGGATGACATGATTCGACTGGCCCTCTAGAGGCAAAATGACGCCAGGAAAAGCGAACGTTTGTCGTCTGCTTCACAGCCTGTTTTATACCCGATATTTAGCGCTTTTCGCAGCACATACAAGTTGTTTTTATCGACAGAATTCATTCATAGATCTCAGATTTCATGTACAGAGTGTCAAAAGCCACACCTCTGCCCCCCTTTAATGTTTGTGAACTCTGCTTCCGCTATATAAAAATTTGCCTGTGAGGAAATGAGGAGTATTCTTATCGATTTACAATCTGATTAAAATCTGATGTAGTGTACGGGCTTTAATTATTTTGGCTATAAACTTATTTTAATTTTATTTTTTATTCTATTTGTTATTGATGCCCTTTTATTTTACTTTGATTTTGAGATTTTTTTTTTTAATTCCGCCCTACCTACAAATGTACATCTGATCCGACGCCTATGTAAGTCCCGTTCAAATCTCGCGTAAGTAACAGCCAATCACAGCCCCCCTTTTATACAGGCTGTCGGTTGCTTACTTTTCAGTGTATACGGGCAATCTTTCTGTACATTATATTTTGCCCACTTGAATAAACCATTAATAGAAAATTGCTAGTATATTTTTATTTGCAAAAGAAATTCCACAGCATTTTACAATTTTTGTCATTACATTGAATATTTTTTTCACTTCCAACAAATGTGTACACTTCCAGATACATCTTCGCCAGCCAAGGTTCGTTCATTCAGTCATCGCTTCAATTTTACATCACTGAGCATAATTATCTACCCCAGACCATTCGTCCCGGTGTTATCGCTATCGCCACACGAGACTCCAGCTTGTCTCCTATACAATTTGACTGCGCACATCCAGAAAGTAGATGTAGCTGTGATTGGTGGAATACTAATGAGTTGAGTGTCAATCAAACGCCCACGCTATCTTTAGTAAACAAAGTCACGTGACACGCGCCATTTTAGTTTTGATTAGTTCATCGGATCGGAGTGGTCGGGCAGGCGATTTCAAGGCAGCACGGTTAACCCTTTCGTTCACAGGTTGGGAGATATTAGAATGACTGACAATTTCACGCCACTGTTTTACATTATTGGCGGATTTTTCTGCGCTATCAATCTTTCTCTTACAAACTAGACATAGATGAGACGACAGAGTCGCTCCTTTCACAACGTCGCACTGGATCAAATTGGAAAGACGATTTCCATAAGTTATCCCTCCTGCTTTTCCTGGCTTGAATAAATTCACACACGATTTTAACTGTCCACAAACTCGAAGACTACACGAACACAGTCTACAATAGTCATCCGCAACAATATGTATGTATTTCTTCGGTGTACTGATGCACGAATGCACCGTGACACGGTGTTTCTCGGGTGTCG